ATATATGAATATAAATAATTAAATAGATTAATAAATAGATAAATGAAAAGATAAAAAATAAACAGATTAAAAAGTAGATTTATAAATATAAAGATATAGTTTCAAAGCCCTAACCGCAAAAGTAGAGAAATAACCCAGACAAAATAAAGTTTGGTTAAAATTAATATTTACTTTTCATCCAGCAAATTCTAGAGCAAACAAATATGTTTGCTAAAATTATTGATCAGATAATCTATACAATATTCAAATATATGAAATATACATTTATAAGTTTTAGAATTATCGAATTAACCGAATTAAATGTAAAATAATGTATATAATGAGTATAATAAATGAAACGTTGCTCATTGCCGAATGAAATTATCAAACACACCTCAATGGTCAAAAATTTTCTTTCCACTGCGATTCAGCTATGAAAATTATGCATAATTTTCCAGGACTGGACATTTGGCTATACTTAATTTAATTCATATACTTCACTTCATGTATATTTTTTTTCTTTCTACAGGCAGAACCATAAAACTCTGGAATAAGAAGACGACTTTTTCAAGACTTTAAATAGTCAAATTAACATGAGAAAAATCGGATTCAAATTTTGGTCTGACCTTGCTTCCATTTTAAATGTATGTATATCTAAAGGGAAAGTTGACGTAAACTAAGGTGACCCTCTATTTAAAAAAAAAAAACTTTTTATATCTTTACCTGGATAAAATTATATCCCTGTTCTTCTTTTGACTTTTGATTAGTTTTAATTACGGTTTATCCATAAAACTATAATTAACTTGTAGATATTTTGATAGAGTAACAATGTAGGTGATTGTTAGAATTAAACTAAAAAAACCGACTATATCTTCAACAGTATTGATCATAAAAAGAAGAATGAGGTATAATATTGATCTTTTTGTCGAACTCTTGAATTCGTTCAGATATTAGATTAATTATTAGATTAAAGATTAGATATGACTACAATTCAATTTATACATAAGTTGTAAACTAATTTTCTGATGTCGTCGTCTTCTCATTCAGTATTTGACAGTACGTGTTCACTGTACAGTCCCTTTAAAGAACCTGTCTCCAATTTAAATATATTTATATTTAAGCTTGTCTGGATTTATGGATTTATCCTGATATACCCTGCCCTCTATATATATAAGGGTCTCTCTATTTTAAACTTTTAAGTTTACAAACTTAAATTGGTTTAGTGTGTGTACTGTGTACTGTTTACACACTTTTACCGTACACTGCTCCCTGCACTTTGAACTGTACACTGTAAACTGTACACAGTTCACTGCACACTGTGCACTGTTGAAAGTATTTAGACAGGGAGATAAACTCACTTGAAACTATGTGAACAGGGAGTAACATTATTTAATAATATTATCGATCAAAATAGATTAAAGTCATATATCCATAGAGAATAGAATATATAGAGAGGAATTAAAAGAATCTCTCGGTATGAATTTTTTCAGTCCCTTTCAGCCTGAAAGGGAGTTCAAAGTGTACAAATCATGTAAATGTTCACAAATTATATGCAGTAG